TATATTATTTTAGATAATCATTTAAATTTATAAAAGTTTAAATTTTTGAGGATCTTTTTTTGAACATGGCCTGACCTTTTCATTTTTATGATTTTTTAGAGATTATGTTATACTGCGGCTTTTATTAAAAAGCACCATCTATTTCTCAATTTTAAAATAAATTTTCTAGTGTTCTTACAAGAAACGGATCACGTGGATAAAGCGTTTAATTAATGACGGTCGGTCGGTTACATGCAACTAAATGGTGATTAGTACTTTATAAGAAACGGCATTTGTTATGCTATGCAGCACGAGGACGAGCGTTCGAGTCGTAGTAGGTTTTCAATGCTTTGCCTTGCGAGGATCGATGCAGTGTATCAGGAGTGTTAGGACACTCGCGCTTGGACGGAAGTGGGCTGCCTTGACAGATATGTCGTTTTTACGTTTTTTCCAGGGTAGGTGTCTATGACACTTAATAAGGCATACGAAGCTATATATAGAGTGCAAGGATAATACTTTTATCGATCACCGAATACTCGAAAGAATAACGTTAGTGCTCATACTGGCGAAAATGTATGCTTTTTTTCGTTAGAGGTTATAGTAAACGTCATATAGAGATAATAAAGTATAGATTACGTACATCGCGTTTCTTTGAATAGGCGGTATAATTGAGTCACGCTCATTTTCTAACGTGCGTTGTAGCGTTTAAAATTAAAAATAAATACGAAACGATCGGTAGGAAAATTTGTAAGAGCAAAACACGCTTGTTGCATTTTATCAAGTAAATAACGATCGATATGTGTAACAGTGCAGCAGTGCTGTCTAAAGCACACTATTCATAGTCGATTCTTGTATTTAAGACTGTCTTAAGATGTCATAAATCAGTCAGAGAGCATCATTAGCATTTTAAGACATTACTTAAGACGATTTTAAAGTAAGAAAGCTCGTGAAAGTTATTTATTCTTGTATTTAACATTTGATAAACAATAAGAATGAAACTATGAAATGAGTATTGCGAACGTTCACGGCTATTCTTTTTTCTACCTTCATTAGAAAAAAAAGAAGACAATATGCATGAATATTGATACATATGTATTTCGAGCTAATATTCGCAATTTACAAATTTTGGTAGTGTTCCAAATCAGCGCTGAAAATCTATAGTTTACGTTACATGCGCTATAAATTTTCAATACTGGCAGTCAATTTTGGAATACAAGACCTTGAATAGAATACGTACAATACAAGATCAATAAGTACTGATATTTTCATGTTAATAATTTTTGCAAATTTGACAATTTCGGCTTCATGTTAATTAGATTAGAATATTCTTCTGTTTTTATTCTCTACATTGATATTCATTGCGCTTTTCATTTTATTCATATTGCGTACTTTGGAGCGTCGGACGCTGCATGAAGATGTACTATGTACAACCAGCGCAACATCCACGTGCGCGACGCGTCGTGCCGATACGACCTATACGACGAAGTCAACAGAGAGTCCAGTCGGATTATCCTTTGACGAGATAGTCTCTCTGCAACTCTCTCTTTCTCTCTCCCTCTCCCTCCCTCCTCTCTCTCTCTCTTTCGGAATGTTATCGCCGATAATTGTCATTCATTAGATCACTGATAACTTATCGGGCAATACGACTCCCGATTCACGTACGAGATAACAACAGCGGAGATTTCATTTTTCCCCAAGATTTACTTATATTCATATGCTACGTTACATAATCAACGCAAGTTATATATTTCTTACGAGAATTTTTGCATCGCAATGAAACTATTTGATGATGCAATTGACTGGAGGTATCGCCTGCCATTCAAATTTCAAGGACTATTCAAAGTCCCATTCGTGGTATCACTTTATTTTTGTTCATGGAATGTTAAACAAGGATAAAATGATACTTAAGAAATACTCAGGTGGAAACACTGGGAACCTGAATGCGCTCGTAAATTAGCTTGTCATTTGTCATAAGTATTCTATTGTTTACTATTATAGAGGAGAAATTGAATGAAACTCTATTACGTGCATTAGGTTGATTAGATACACAATTATTAGAAAATATCACATTTATATGTTCGCTTTTATGTTTGTCTATGTTTATATCTACATGCTAATAAAGGATTAAAATAGACCATATTATGATTCATAGTTACAGTGGTTTACTCTTTTGCAATTCCCTCAAAATCTGTTTTGGTCATGTCGAATAAAACTAAAAAGAAAAAATATTATAGTAAATATTACAGTAAATATAATACAGCTGAGAATATGCCCCGCAGATTGCGGTGCATATTCTTGTCCTGTGGTTGCTCCTATTGTGAATCACCTGTTGCCTCTCTAATAATACGCGTCTATAATAAGTTACAGATAATTATTATAAATAATTAAATTATAAATTATTTTATATACACTTCTTAGGTACCTCCAAAGAGCATGACACCTACATTGAGGAAGTGGTGTGCAAGCAGGAAGATATCAACGAAAATGAGATGAAAATGCTACCGTTGGGAAATAATGAAAAGAAAATTTTGTTGATTAAACAGAATGGAGAATTGCACGCGATTGGTACCAAATGCACGCATTACGGTGCCCTGCTATATACCGGCGCGTTAGCGGAAGGACGAGTGAGATGTCCATGGCACGGTGCATGTTTCAATATTAAAACTGGAGACATTGAAGATTATCCAGGCTTGGATTCTTTACCATGCTATAAGGTATTTAAGTAATTTACAAACTTATCAAGATTTTGTTCTTGTTCTTATCCCATATTTGTTTAACATGCTATGTATTGCTTTAATAGGTTCGCGTAGACGAAACTGGTCTTGTCCACGTAAGAGCCAAACGTACAGAGCTGGATATTAACAAACGTATGAAGGCTATGTCTGTACGTAATCCTGAAAACACAAAGACTGTCATAATAGTTGGCGGAGGACCATCGGGTGCTACCTGTGCAGAGAGTTTGCGACAGGAGGGCTTTACAGGACGTATCATTATGATATGCAGAGAGAACGTAATACCTTATGATCGAATAAAGGTATCCAAAGTGTTAGATTTCGATGTTCAGTCTGCGACATTACGATCGCCCTCGTTTTACAACGAATACAATATTGAAACGAAACTGGGAGTAAAAGCAATAGGTACATACAAAAGATAAACACCGATCTCACAATATACAGGGTGTTTCCAAATTAAATGGCAAAACTTCGGGAGCGTGTAGAGGAGTAAAAAACTAAGAAAAAAAGTCCTATGGACATATGCTCCTTTTTGCTTTGTTTCGCAGGAAATCACGAAAAAAGAAAAAAATATATTTAATTTATTATTTTAATTATTTTATTTATAAACTTTTTAATGAAGATTTTGTTCGAAATGTGCACCTCTTGCAGCAATACAAGCATTGCATCTGTCAAACACGGCTCTTGTAGCAGCCCCGCCTTTAAAGCATTACCGTTGCAGAAACCGTATACAAAAACCATATCAGCATATTCACTATTAGAATACGTACGCGGCATATTGCAAAAGACAAAATTCATCTACTATTAAAGGCTTTCAAAGAGCGACTGACAAATTCATAACAGAAAGTGGAAAATGTAATCAAATATGTCGGTGCTAGATATGGCAAGAAATGTAAACATTTTTTTTCGATTTCTCTGAAACGGAGCAAAAACGAGCATATGTCTATAGGACTTTTTTTCTTAGTTTTTTACTCCTCTACACGCTCCCGAAGTTTTGCGATTTAATTTGGAAACACCCTGTATATATTTAAATCATGTTACTTCGTGTACTATATTCTGTACATTTTTTTTTATTGTTATAGGTCTAGATACGACTGAGAATACTGTCAAGCTGTGTAATAACGAGAATTTCGTGTATGATTATCTATTTGTTTGCACAGGCAGTAAACCGAGAACGTTAAATGTACCTGGAGCGAATTTATCGAATATTTTTGTTCTGCGAGATTACACAGATTCACAAGGCGTACATGCGCTTCTGTCTCCCGAGAAACATGTAGTTGTTTTAGGATTAGGCTTTATTGGCATGGAAGCCGCGGCTTATTGCATCGATAAATGCGCGTCTGTCACAGTAATAGGACGTGATACTGTACCTCTCAGAGCGATATTCGGCGCGGACATCGGTAATAGAATTAAAAAAGAGCATGAGGCAAAAGGTATTGCATGTTATATTGTATATAACTTACATTGCGTATTGGTCTGCAATATTGATTAGATAATAATTATAATTAATGTTTTCAGGTGTGAAGTTTATCTTTCAAAATAATATTGAGCAATTTATTCCTGCCGAAGGTGAAGAAAACGTTTTGGCTAAAATCGAACTTACAGACAGCCAAATTCTACCAGCAGATATAGTTATTGTTGGAATAGGATCCACTTTTTACACTGATTGGATGAAAACATCTTCTGTCACAATGAGGGACAATGGCACTATTCCAGTAAATGAGGTAATATTTGAAAGCACAGTACTTTTCTTAGTATATATGTGGATGGTTCAAGTCAAACTGGGACTTTTATTCTTATGTTCATGAGAATAAAAGTCCTGATTTGACTTGAACCACGCATGTACTTCATATTTGGATAATTGAATATAAATCAAATTATAGCATTTAAGGACGAACGTGGAAAATATATATGCTGGAGGGGACATAGCTTACGCACCGATATATGGATCTGACGACACGTTTGCTGCAATAGGTCATTATTCTCTAGCTCATTATCACGGCAAAATTGCAGCTCTAAATATATGTGGTAAAAAAACTTCTTTGAAGACTGTACCATTCTTCTGGACGAATTTACTGGGTAGAAATTACAGATATGCAGGTAAATTTACATGTCTGTAACATGTTCCTACACAATATTTCAAAATTATATAATAATAACCAAGTTTCATAAAAAATTAACAATTAAACAATCTATCCATTTATTTTCAGGCTATGGAAAACCTACTAGTATAAAGATTTATGGCTCACTGGATAAACTGGAATTTTTCGCTTACTATCTTAAAGGTGGCAAAGTAATAGGAATTAGCAGTGTTAATGCCGATCCAGTTGTGGCAGATTTTGCAAATTTGCTTTATGAGGGAAAGACCTTAACAGAAGAAGAAATTAATACAGATCCATTTGGTTGGATGAAAAATAAACCAAAAAATGTATCAACTCGGTTTCAAGAAAGCGTTTTAGTCGATGCTCAAGCTTGAGTCATTTAACATGAACAATATAATTTAATGCTTTAAAATGTTACAATATTATTTTCAATTTTTACTTTATAATTTGCAATGTATGATTTTATTAGATGGACTTATGTAACATATTTCATTTTACGACGCTACCTTTCCTGAGCTAAGAGGAATACTCTATGTAATATATTCGACATTGGCTGCGTTCAGCAGAGAAAGCAGCTTTGCAACTGTTGTAAAATTCTTCAATACGATTGGTTCTTGCTTTTGGTTCCTTACAGATCTAAATGTACAAACCAATCATTGAAGAATTTTACAACAGTTGCAAAGCTGCTTTCTCTGCTGAACGCAGCCATTGTATACCGATCCAAAATGTTACCAAAAAAAAAAAAGAAAATTAAATGTTCTTGGATTCAATGTTGATTTAATTTAAATCTAAACAATTTATAAAACATAATTACACATGTCTGTACAAAGATTTCAATCCCAAGCTTCTGTAACTCTCATGTGGCACAGACGTTCCGCGATAGTAATTTCTTTCTGAAACTTCTGACGATTTTCTGCTAGTACTTTCTCGAAAAACTTTTGCTTTCTGCTGTTGACGTACATATCCTTCATGTGACCATGACTTTGTTCAAGCGTGAGATAGGGATGCCGCAAAATCAACATGTTTTGCTCTTCCCTCTCAAAATCTTGCTTCATCTTAAGTAAATCGTGCAGAGACGGTTTTTTAACTCTACGATATTTCCTGCATGAAACAAAGATTTACAGAGTTACGAGTATTCCACGTGACAATAAAAAGTAATATTATACGTTATGAAAAATTAAATGATTCCTAACTTCTTGAACTAAATGAGAACTAATTTTTATGAAAGAAAAGTACTCACCCTCTGAATCTGTATGGTATTTTATTTATATGGATGGTTAATAGAGCCAATCCAAGCCGCATTGTTAATCAGATTTTGTACTGTAAAATAATTGTTAATACACACAATACTCAATTCTTATTCGTAGATACGATTCTCCTAGCTTTCAGAGCATGTCTTTTGGTTAGGTTGCTCTCTGCAGTCTGCCATGATCCATGATGAAAACAAGATAGGTGTACTCGTTCCCGATAGAGATCCTCAAGTAAGAGATGCGCGAACTTCGAACATGGGAACCTACATTAAGCTAGTTCTACATAGGCTGCGTTCAGCAGAGAAAGCAGCTTTGCAACTGTTGTAAAATTCTTCAATA